GCCTTGCGCCCGAAATTGCCGTGCTCACAAAGCAAGTGAGTTCGGCGCCGGGCCCCACAAAGATCTTAACTGTAAATCGGACACCTTTTTGTTTTAATGTATGGTTTTGGTCCATTTTCGGTACGATTTGCGCTGCGCTTGCACGAATTTGATCAATATTTCAATTGAAAACAATTCAAACACGGAACGCAGCTTATTTACCGATCAAATTGGGGTTAAAAACTCTATTCTAGCGGTAGTTCTCCTGTTTGAATTTCGCTCATTGCTTCATAGGGCCGAATGAGAGCTCACTGTTCTCGCCAGGGCGAGAAGCGGCGACGGCGGCATTCAAGAATTTGCCGTCCCATTTTCTGAAAATGTGTCCTGCGCGAATACTGACGTCGGTGCATGGAAAAGGGAAATGCACCACAACGCAAGCATGCGGTGGTCGGCGTTTGCTCCAGCCAACAATGTGGGGGTCGGCACCTGTCGAACCCGTACCGACATTTCGCGACGGTCCTGCCACGAAATGAGGCCCTTGCCAGAAACGCGGGGATGACGTGTGACTCGCGAGAGGGCGGCCGGGGCATTTAGAGCCCGCGAGCGGCGGCAGCTGGCCGTGCATTGGCAGAGCGGTACCCAGAGTGCAGCTGCCGTGCAAACGGGAGGGCCTGCGCGTGAGTCGTCTTTGGCGTGCGCGCCGGCCACCTCGGCGAAGGTTTGGACCACAGGCCATGGACCGCTTTGCGTTCAGGGCCACGGGTCAGGGCGGGAGCCCTGGCGGCTGTTGGGCGAGGCGTCGAGGCCGCAGCGGCGGCGGGCGGCGCGGAGGCGGGAGCTCTAGGAGAGTTCCAGCGTCTGGAGGTACTCCAGACGGAGGCGGAGGGAGGCGCGTCCTGGGGGACTTGGAGCCGTTGCGGGCGCCAGACTCACCGGTGAGCCTGGAGAATATTTTCTTCAGGGGTTTGTGGGGGGGGGGAGGAGCGGGGGCGACGACAAAGCGGCGGAGGGTCGCCGAGCCTTGCGGCCCCGTGGGGCCCAGTGCCCTTGGGGCCACTGGTGGTGGGGGCGACGACGGACGGGGGTCTTTTTTTCCTTCGACCGCGCGAAGCTGGCGGCCGCCCTCCAGCGCTGGCCGGAAAAGGGAATAAGCGGACTTGGGGGCGGCGCTCCTCACGCAGAGATGCCCTCGCCTCGTCCAGGATATTGTTCGCCTTGTGGGAAAATTGCCAGGAGGGGAGAGAGCGCATCTTGAGTTCGGCTGGGCGGCGCGCTTCCACGAGCGCCGCTTCACGGACGAGGGCCCCTCGAGTGGCCTGTGGTCACGGTGGCCTTACGAGAGCCTTGCGGTGGCCCGGCAATAATTCCCGCTGCTTCCCACGTCCTTGGGTCTTATCGCGGTGCCTGCCTTTTTGTTTGACTCCTTCTTGCGGCGGAGAAAGGCGACGCAGGGGAGGACGCCCCTAAGTCAGCTGAACCGAGGGCCAGCCGCCAAGCCAGCCGCCCGGCCACCCGCCCTCCAATGCGAAGCTGGTACCTTTTTTGTGTGTGTGGGCGCCCAAAAATGCGCAGATGCGTTTTGCGGCGCGCCCGCGCTTGCCTGGATGGAGCGGGCCTGGTGCCCCACCACCACGTGGCATCAAGTTGCCAGGTCAAGCACGACTGAAAATATTCAAGTTTTATGTTAATGAAATGACCAAATGGTAAATTGATGTCCGCACAGCCACAATGCGTCTACGCCGTGCCATGCAGACCGCCGCGTTGCTGGGTGAATCCGCTGTGTCTCATAGCTCCATAGCGCCAGCTCTCCATGCTCAAGGGTAATTACTTGCAGGGGATGGTCCTAGTAGACCGCCGCTGCGACACACCCTAACAGTGTTATTTGAAGCGATTTGGTTCACGGGGTGCTTTTCCGATCACGGGCACACACAAATTTCTGTGTGGAATAGCGTGCCGCAGTTCAGGACAGAAGGGCCTTGGCCAGGGTGTCTTGTCCATGTCTTCCAACCCTGCAGCGCCTGCGATGCTTTTCGCCCAAGCCAATCGAGGCTTTTTCCATGCAACAGAGCCAACCACTTTTTGTTCCCTCGACAGCTTCGCCAACTGGTGACGACAGTTTTCTCAACATGCTACAAACGGCAAACACTTCTCGCGAATGAGAAAGTGACGGTTGCCAGATTTCGGTCACTGTGGACACTGGCCTTAAATGAGAAATTCGAGAACACGACTTTGTTCGGCAAAGTAGGGAGCTGCAGGCTGCCTGCTTGCCTTGCAGTGGAAAACACCATGTTGGGTGGCGGCCCTTGGGCTGCAGATATGGCGACGGATGACCATAAGGGCAAGGCAATACGGTCATGTTTGTCACCGCCGTCGGCTGTGTCGTCGCTCGAATTTGGAGCCGAACTGACGAGAGATATAACGTATGTATGCTTAGAGCCACAGCTCCGCACGGGAGCTGCCTTGCAAGGCTGACTATGGGCCGTTGGACAGGCGAAGGGCGTGGAGTCTGCGCCCGGGAGCACTCCTAAACCCAAATAGCTAACCTGAGCATTGAACAATGAAAAATTCAGTTAGTTGGTTGGTGTGTTTGGTCGAATACTGAGGGTGTCTTTGCATACTGTCTGGCCCTCTCGGCAGGAGCCGCCACCGCCCTCATTCTTCGGGGGATACTTCAGGTGGGTGTGGAAAGGTGAGCCACCGGACGCTGAGCTGGCTGTCCACACCCACATGACGGGGAGTGCCATGGACGAGGACGACAGCACAGACGTCATCCAGACGCCCAAGGCCCAGATGCTGCCGCCTGTAAAATGGCTACGTGCGGGCACGGTGAGCACGAGTGCCGCTCAACAGAACGCATGCATACCTTTGATTCTTACATTCTGCGTCCCCTTTGATATAAATCGCCCCTTCTTTTCTGGATGTGTACACGCACTTCGCCGCCAACAGGGCGCACAAGGGTACCGATGTGTCTTTCGAAGGCAATCCCAAACAGTAGATTTCAGCCCCCTCCTTTCGTTCTCGCAGCCTGCCCAGCACCAGCAGCAGCGCTGCCTACATCTGCCCCAGCACCGGCGCCAGCGCATGGAGGGGCACCAGAGGGTTGCAGGGAAGCACAAGGTGCCGCCACTGGTGGCGGAGCCCCTTCCCCACTTCATGAAGGAAGCTGCCCTCTTTGATCGCCCGCAGAAGCGGCGCAGGCTCAACACGCCGGTGGAGGAGGCGGACCTCGTGCTGTTCATGCAGAGTGCTGAGACGCCGGATGCTGCGCACACCCAAGGTAGCATGGTCGTGACGTCTGCAGCCTGCACTTCACCCACGCGCAACCACACAACAGTCAGCCGTGAATGCCTTAATTGCGAATGCACATTGCCGCGCATATGCACAGTGCCATCAGAATGGAGGCCCCAAATTTGGCATCGTGGACGCAGCCTCCACCGCCTCTACACCGTGTTCAGGTGTCGTTACACACCTGCCCCCCACAGAAGGCACCCCATGGCGCGATCTTCATCCAGCACCACTCCATCGATTTCTAGGCTGGCTGTATTGCACGAATCGCCTGCCTGAAGAAAATGGTGTGTTTCGCAGGCATTCAGGCTACTGGCTCTGCATCCAGCTCTGGCCCTAGTGCATATGCTGTCCAAGGCGATCCCCACGGGCCCATGGCTGCCAAGTGGACGGAGTTGGCGACAGGGGAAGCTGGTGGGTGCACCACTAGTTCTCAGAACTGGCAACGACAATTGGTGCTGCCAGTTAAATGTCTTGAGGGAAGAGTTGCCTTGCATCCTACTGCCACAGAAGTCCTGGCCTCGGGGAGCTGCGCTCACACTGTGGATGGACTGCCTCCAATCCAGAACCTGTTCTACCTTCACGATCCATGCCCAGATCTGCAACGAGAGCAATCAACAAATCCTAAAGCATTCTCCCCTACTTCTTCTCCCTGAATGCACACCTGAAATCCTGCGAGAAAGTCAGCAGCTGCCGCGTGCACTGCATTGTGCTGGTATGAGTGGCAAGAAGTGAGAAATGCAAGGATCACCCAAGCATCACCCTTTGAAGCGTAGTGCAAAACGTGATCATAGCTGTACCAGATCCAGAAATCACGATGATGTAATACAACTTCGGATTCGCTCAGATCCAGGCTCAGAAATGCCCTCACACGAGCAACCATCACAAACCGGTGCTGTGCTCTCATCTTCAATCAGCAGTGTGCGATCGTTACTATGTGATCGACGAAAACTGCAGCAAATGGAATGTAAATAATTGCCTTCCAGCTCACAAGTTGCAATTCAAACTGCAGCATGGCAGAAATTTGCCTCCAGGGTGATTCGCTTGATGACTGCCATAACATGATCAGCTGTCACCCTTGTGACACTAACCTCTCACACCATGGAACTGCAGCCGCAGCATGACCAACCACGATAATGAACAGTTATCGATGTGGAGCCCAATAGATCATGGCTGATCGCAGCACCAGCACAAGGTAAACGGGTACCTACAATGAACACACCCTATGGGAAGACAAGAAACACAAGAAACGATTGCAAGAACAGGGAGTAACCACCCTGGACCAGCACAGCATCCCGATCCAACACCAACTGTGCCCCAGCTCAAGCGGGGCCGGAATCGCCCTGTCTGATCCTCCCCATGCGCTCCTTTCCTCAGAATGCAGATCACATGAAGCTTCCCACCCTTACAACATTTGTTGCTTCCATAACAAACAGCAGGATTCCCGTCATGGTCTATCTGGGCTCCATGTCATGCAAGTGGAACTGCACCCTGCACGCGGCGGAATGCCTCAGTTGGTGGGAAATTCCAGTTTCCCAAAACACATTCATGCTGAATCACAAAACGTGGCTGGCGTCAATGTTGTCCCTGACAGCACAGCCCCTCACCACATCATCCCGCAGTTGAATCTGTCGAGGAATGCTGCATGGGAGTCTCTGACCCTCAGCAGGGCCTTCTCCACCTTCCACATGGGGGCGCTGCAGGCTCAACGTTCTGCCATTGGCTTGTTGCTGCAGGAAGGATGTGCAGCGCAAGGGTCACTCTGCGAGGGGTTGAGGACCAGGTCTTCAGGAACCTGCAGGAGCTGGAGGCCACACTGTGGCAGCCGCGCAGACTGTGCCATGGGGAGGACGTGCTGCAGGCACGGGAGAAGGCCGTCAAGGACATCGTGGCAATCCACCACACCCTGTCACACACAGGGAATGGGGGGATTGTCAGAAAGTGTAGGGGCACAAGCTTTCTTGCGGTGCAGCTCTTGGACCGATACCTGGCTCTTCGACCATATGCGACAGCAGAGCAGGTGGCAGCCATGGGCTGGGCAGCGTACTGGGTGGCGGCCAAACATGACAATGGCCAGGCAGACGTGGGCTGGCGCATCTCGCTGTACATGCTGCTCGAAATGGGTGTGCAAACGAAGGACCTCATTGCGAATGAGTGGAAGCTCTTGGCTGCGCTCAGCACTGAGGAGGCGGGTGCTGGATGGAGGCTGGACCTGCCGACACCATACTCGTTCTTGGAGGTGTTCCTGGCAGTGGCGGGGGAGACTCTGGATGGCGAAGTAGGCCAGTACGTGCAGGACGTCCTGGAGTCATCCCTGGTCATGGCAGGGATGCTCAGCTACCGCCCGTCCATGGTGGCAAAGGCCGCCGTGGACGCGGTGCTGGGCAAACTTCATCCTGCACTGCCATACCACTCCAAGCTGGAGGCGGTGTCAGGGTACAGCCAGGAGGACATCCAGGACTGCCAGGAACACGTCATCCTGGCCTACAACATGCACCCAATGCAGAGCTGAGGTCGTGCAGGGTCGTGTTGTGGTCGCTGGCGCAGAGCTGTCCATCGCCTATCTGCATGCGTCCAGGCCACACCGACTCTGAACACCATGGGCTGCCCCCAGTTGGGGAACCTCAAGTTGTTGGGGACATCGGGACGCCAGTCATGCGATCAATTCTACTTCGCTGGGACGCCGGGATGCTCAGATCGAGCGTTGCATTGAATGAGTGGACATCGGGACGCCATTCATGGGTTTGACTTGTTTCGCTGGGACGCCGGGATGCTTGGATTGAGATTTGCGTTGAATGGGTAGACACTGGGACGCCATTCATGGAATCGATTTTGTTTCGCTGGGACGCCGGGATGCTTGGATTGAGCGTTGCATTGAATGGGTGGACATCGGGACGCCATTCATGGGAACGACTTTGTTTTGCTAGGGCGCCGGGGTGCTTGGATTGAGCGTTGCGTTAATTGGGTGGACATCGGGATGCCATTCTTGGGATCGACTTTGTTTCGCTGGGACGCCAGAGTGCTTGGATTGAGAGTTGCGTTGAATGGGTGGACATCGGGACGCCATTCATGGGATCGACTTTGTTTCGCTGGGACGCCGGGATGCTTGGATTGAGAGTTGAATTGAATGGATGGGCACTGGGAAACTCGTCATCTGATGCATTTTACTTCGTTGGGATGCCGGGATGCTTAAATTGAGTGCTGTATTTGAATGAGAGGACACCAAGACACCTGTCACTTGATGGATTTTGTTTCGCTGGGACACGGGATGCTCTGATTGGGTGTCGCAATGAATGAGTGCACACCACACTCAGCATCAGTCTTGGGAAGAAGGGCTGTTCATCAACGTACAGAGAGATGGCTCCACAAGTTGGCCCTTGCAACTGAGGCCCACAGGAAATCTGAATCGGTGCACAGTGATGGGCAGCAAAGGGAGCATTGAGAGGGAAACCTTGCGGCCAAGAGGAGCCCAACCCCAGGGCACAACAAACGCAACAGCAGTGCCTGGGAAGAGGGCTGTTCGCCAATGTGCAGTGAGATGGATGCACAAGTGGGGCCTGCACCCAAGGGCAACAAGAAATCCGAATCCATGCAAAGTGATGGGTAGCAGTGGGAGCGTTGACAGAGGGAAGACATGCTGCCAAGAGGAGCCTAACCCCAGGGCACAACACATGCAACAACAGTGCCGGGGAAGAGGGCTGTTCACCAATGTGCAGTGAGATGGTACCACAAGTTAGGATTGCACCCAAGGGCGACAAGAAATCTGAATCTGTGCACAGTGATGGTAGCATTGGGAGCGTTGACACAGGGAAAACATGCTGCCAAGAGGAGCCCAACCCCAGGGCACAACACACGCAACAGCAGTGCCGGGGAAGAGGGCTGTTCACCAATGTGCAGTGAGATGGTGCCACAAATTGGGACTGCACCCAAGGGCAACAGGAAATCCGGATCCGTGCACAGAGACGGGTAGCAGTGGGAGCGTTGACAGAGGGAAAACATGTTGCCAAGAGGAGCCTAACCCCAGGGCACAACACACTCAAGAGCAGTGCCGGGGAAGAGGGCTGTTCACCAATGTGCAGTTAGATGGTACCACAAGTTAGGACGGCACCCAAGGGCGACAAGAAATCTGAATCTGTGCACAGTGATGGGTAGCAGTGAGAGCGTTGACAGAGGGAAGACATGCTGCCAAGAGGAGCCTAACCCCAGGGCACAACACACTCAAGAGCAGTGCTGGGGAAGAGGGCTGTTCATCAATGTGCAGTGAGATGGTACCACAAGTTAGGACTGCACCCAAGGGCGACAAGAAATCTGAATCTGTGCAAAGTGATGGGTAGCAATGGGAGCGTTGACAGAGAAGAAACGTGCTGCCAAGAGGAGCCTAACCCCAGGGCACAACACACGCAACAGCAGTGCCAGAGAAGAGGGCTGTTCACCAATGTGCAGTGAGATGGTACCACCACAAGTTAGGACTGCACCCAAGGGCGACAAGAAATCTGAATCTGTGCAAAGTGATGGGTAGCAGTGGGAGCGTTGACAGAGGGAAAACATGCTGCCAAGAGGAGCCTAACCCCAGGGCACAACACACGCAACAGCAGTGCCGGAGAACAGGGCTGTTCACCAATGTGCAGTGAGATGGTACGACAAGTTAAGACTGCACCCACAGGGCCACAAGAAATCTGAATCTGTGCAAAGTGATGCGTAGCAGTGGGAGCGTTGTCAGAGGGAAAACATGCTGCCAAGAGGAGCCTAACCCCAGGGCACAACACATGCAACAGCAGTGCCGGGGAAGAGGGCTGTTCACCAATGTGGAGTGAGATGGTACCACAAGTTAAGACTGCACCCACGGGCCACAAGAAATCTGAATCTGTGCAAAGTGATGGGTAGCAGTGGGAGCGTTGACAGAGGGAAAACATGCTGCCAAGAGGAGCTTAACCCCAGGGCATAACACACGCAACAGCAGTGCTGGGGAAGAGGGCTGTTCACCAATGTGCAGTGAGATGGTACCACAAGTTAGGGCTGCACCCAAGGGTGACAAGAAATCTGAATCTGTGCAAAGTGATGGGTAGCAGTGGGAGCGTTGACAGAGAAGAAACATGCTGCCAAGAGGAGCCTAACCCCAGGGCACAACACATGCAACAGTAGTGCCAGGGAAGAGGGCTGTTCACCAATGTGCAGTGAGATGGTACCACAAGCTAAGACTGCACCCACGGGCCAAAAGAAACCTGAATCTGTGCAAAGTGATGGTTAGCAGTGGGAGCGTTGACAGAGGGAAAACATGCTGCCAAGAGGAGCCTAACCCCAGGGCACAACACATGCAACAGCAGTGCCGGGGAAGATGGCTGTTCACCAATGTGCAGTGAGATGGTACGACAAGTTAAGACTGCACCCACGGGCCACAAGAAATCTGAATCTGTGCAAAGTGATGCGTAGCAGTGGGAGCGTTGTCAGAGGGAAAACATGCTGCCAAGAGGAGCCTAACCCCAGGGCACAACACATGCAACAGCAGTGCCGGGGAAGAGGGCTGTTCACCAATGTGGAGTGAGATGGTACCACAAGTTAAGACTGCACCCACGGGCCACAAGAAATCTGAATCTGTGCAAAGTGATGGGTAGCAGTGGGAGCGTTGACAGAGGGAAAACATGCTGCCAAGAGGAGCTTAACCCCAGGGCATAACACACGCAACAGCAGTGCCGGGGAAGAGGGCTGTTCACCAATGTGCAGTGAGATGGTACCACAAGTTAGGACTGCACCCAAGGGCAACAGGAAATCTGAATCTGTGCAAAGTGATGGGTAGCAGTGGGAGCGTTGACAGAGGGAAAACATGCTGCCCAGCGGAGCCTAACCCCAGGGAACAACACATGCAACAGCAGTGCCGGGGATGAGGGCTGTTCACCAGTGTGCAATGAAAGGGCTGCATGAGTTGGGACTGCACCCAAGGGCCACAGGAAATCTGAGTGGTTTCAGAGGGACGGGCAGCAAAGGGAACATTGAGAGAGGGAAAACATGAGGAGCCAAGAAAAGCCAAATCCCAGGGCACAACGCATTCAACAACAGTGCTGGAACAGAGGGTTGTTCACCAATGTACATGGAGATGACTGCACAAGCTGGGTTCTACACCCAAAGGCCACAAGAAATCTGAATCTGTGCACAGTGATGGGTAGAAAGGGAGCTTTGAGAGAGGAAAGACATGCTGCCAAGAGGAGCCTAATCCCAGGGCACAAGAACTCAACAACAGTGCTGGGGAAGAGGTTTGTTCACCTATGTACAGAGAGGTGGCTGCACACAAGATGGGCCTGCACCCAAGGGCCACAAGAAATCTGAATGAAAAAAAATCTGTGCAGGGTACTGGGTGGCAAAGGGAGCACTTTGAGAAAGTAACAAGGTTCCAAATGGAGCCTGCCCCCCGGCCACAAACAACGCACACAACGTTCTTGCTGCGGGAAAAGGCTCTCAACAAGAGAACAGTGTTGGTTGGAAAATTTGGGTCTGCACCCAAGGAGTACAAGAAATCTGAATCTGTGCAGGGTGATGGCAAGGCACATCACATTTGGTTTGGGTGGCAAGAAGGCGGGTTCTTCACACGGGTACAAAGAGATGACTGCACAAGTTGGGACTGCATTTTAGGGACCACAAGAAATCTGAATCTGTGCGGGGTGCTGGGCAGCACAGGGAGGGTTGGCAATAGGAAACAGACTTGCAAGAGGAGCCCATCCCCGGGGGACACACAATGCACTCAACATCTGTGCCAGGGGAGAGGGTTCTTGATGAGGGTGCTATGAGACGCTTGCAAAATTGGGGATTGCACCCAAGAAGCACAAGAACTCCGTGTCTGTGCAGGGTGAGGGGGCACCAAAGGGAACATTGTGAGATGGGCAGACTTCCAAACAGAGTCTATTCCCATGGCAGAGTCCATTCCCATGGCAACACACACACACACACATCCATGCTGTGCGAGTGGGCTTTTCACAAATGGCATTTTGGTCCTGCACTCAAGCAGAGCAAGAAATCTGAATCTGTGGGGCTGATGGGAAGCAAAGGGATCACTGCAAAAGCTACAATAGACTTTTAGGTGGGCGAAGTGAGGGCAACGATGAGTTGGGCAAACACATCTGGGGGCATCGCAAGGCTTGGCACAATTTAAATTGTCCAGGGGGACAAGCCCAACGATGAAAATATATGATGGCTAGCCAAGTTTGGAGTGAGCATCCCCTTGAGCAAAGACATTCTGCCCGTGTGCACGGGATGAACAAATCTCTGGTCAGCGGACGATGTTGCCACAATGGCAAATGACTGCCACTGACACAGCCAAGTCACATCCTCGCAAGATAGAAAGGCATACAATAACCATGCTATGGGCCTATCGGAGTAGACCACAGTGATGAATTCAGCAGAAGGTGCCACAGTTCCCTCTGTCAAGGCCTGGGGTGGGTGGAAGGGCTGCACAACACCAACAGAGGACAGTGAGCCTGGATTTCACAAAGTTACTGTTGCGGCTAACGGGCAGAAGTGAGC